CCTTTCAGTCGCTGTACACTTTGTCTCCAAAATATGCACAGAAAACCTAGCTACCTTGTCTTACATCTCAGACCACTTGGACAGAGAGGTGATATTCCACATATTGAATCTTACGGTGCCCTACGATTTCGATGGAAAGACACGTGGTATTTATGACCACTTGGACAGAGAGGTGATATTCCACAGATTGAATCTTACGGTGCCCTACGAAAGACTCGTGGTATTTATATCATAGGTGCTGCAGTTTGCCCGAGGACTGAAAGCTTTTTACAGCATTTGACTCCAGTAAACAGACTTTGTTGAACTGTGCGCAACTTGGTGACTATTTCTCGTGTCAGTATAGGTTCCGATAAACAACCATTCCAAAGGTGGTAATGTTTTAATGGGGTTATGTCAAGGCCGCTTTGTTCAACAATAGGTATAGTTATCCCGGCAGTCGACACGAACGCTCAATTGGAGCGACCAGGCCAGATAAGCACATTTGGCGTAGAATTAGAATGGAAGCAGAAAATCATCTGCTCATAGCCAGCACAAAGCTTCAAAATGGGAGCTCATGACTATTGCATGTAAGTCAAAAACCGATAATGGACTCATTTGGATCATGTGACGATCAGTCACCAATGAAGATCTTTAATCGATTATTACAGTCCCCTGTCGAGTAACCCCTCTCCATACTTGGACCATGCCACTATGCTACCCTGCTTAACGGTTCGCCTTCCCCCAGGTTCACGCTGGTTGCCGTACAGTCATCCAGTTCATCAACCCTATCGGGTTTCTGTAGATCAGCAATGTCAGTCTGCTCTGGTTGAAGCATAAATATCTTGATACGGAAGATCATATAAGGAATGAATGGAAACAGATAAACTTAGGTGTGTCGTCGACCACTAATATTGCATTCACAGGTTTCTCGAACCGACCAAATGAATATCGGATATCGTCAAAAATAAATGCTGTTATTGATGCCAGAAAAACCGTACTAGCAACTCGTAACCACGACAGTGCACGCAGGTTTCGCGAATAATCAAACACCTTGGAAATGATGACCAATTTTGGTAGACTGTAAAATGTAGGTTTTGCTTTGGAAAATGCCACGACCTGTGTTGACCTGTTTGACCGAGTCGCCGCAAAGGGATGAGCGTCAAAGAAGCAATTTTACAAAAGGATCGCAATCCATTTATTTACACAGTCATGTTCTCGAGCAAAAGAAAGCACACTTAAACAAATAAATGTACTGAAATCCCTTGGCATTAGACCTTCGTCGGTTATAACGACCTAAACTGAGGTAATATGCTTTCCAGAACAGATGGCTCGTATTCAGGGAGTGCATATAAACAGTCTGACTATACCATTACAAACTTCTTGAAGTGAGAGCAGAATACCGGCAGGATGAGGAGCTTTGCGAGTGATTATAAGAGGGTGCCGGGAACCTGAGCAACGGTCAGTATGGCATTAGCATGTAGCCACAGCATCCATGCAGTAATTTTTAAATGTCTGCTTAGGTTCGTCGATTTTGAGGGGTAACCAGCAGACGGAGCTCAACGGAGGTTTTCTTCTGCCGGAGGATCCGCCGACTACATCTTTACAGTAGGATAAGTGCTTTAACAAAGCAACTCTTTCAGCAGGCTAACCACGGTTGTTTTTGCTGAATTGCGAGCTGAGTTTGGCTCCGTTGGCCGTCATAAAATCTTACAGTCCCTAGCGGTCAAAAGTGCCTCTTCAAAACGTCTGTCTGTCATGAGAATATTAACTCGAAGGTCTGTAAGAGTGTATCAGTCAACGATCAACTTTACGCAGGGGCAGACGGGGTTGTATTCCTTCACAATTTCTTCCTGAATTTTCCATCGACGTGCTGAGTGACACTTTTGTGCCTGTCTGCGATGTCTTGAGGTGAAGTGATTTCGGAGTGTTTGTTCGTAGACGACGAGTACGTGGAAGATAGCACTCCATTTGTCTCAGATCCTTCAAAGATTCAAGCCATTTTAACTAACCTAAATGAAATGGCTGCACAGAGTGACGTGCGCTTCACAGCTGCATATTTTAACTTGGTGCTACAAATATGGGTCGGACAAAATCTGACCTTTCTATTTATTGACCAGCCAGTAGACGTGGTCCATAAATCCACTTTCCTATGTAGCTGTAAATGTGCTGGTGGTCAGGCTTAGGATGAGATCATGCTTGAATCACGTAGGCCAGGGAAGCTTTGCCAAACTCCGACCCCTATGGCATCGGTCTGAAGTCAGCTTGTCCGCCAAGTGGAGAAAAGGCACGGCGGCAGACCAGGTTATACTGCCTTGTGGATAAGATACGTGGTTCTTATGCCCAAAAGCTCAGAGGTTTACGAGCTGATATCGGGCAGAGGTAACTTGAACGTCAGAGAATCGTCCACTTCACAGTATCCCTTTTGTCCAGTCATATAGTGGAATAGAATGACCTTACATAAACTGATCTCCTGTTTCAGTTCTGATCTTGTGACTGTATGTGAAAGTAAGCATATGTACTATGCATGTATGGAATATTTAGATTTGTGTCCTGTAAAAGGGGGAGCATCAATGGAATCCAACGATCCCGGGCATTACATTCTGTTCGAACACTGCAACAGTAGGTCCAGCAGCAGAACCAAGCGAGTGCTGGGCATTCCCCAAAAGCACGTCAGCTGAAACTAACCATCAGGCGATAGAGACTAAAACATTTCCAGACAAGATATATCCAGTGGAGGCTTTCGTGTACATCGAGACTCCTTCGTTTGTGCGGTGAAAAGATTTGTTTAGGCTGTCCCAGTGCAAATTAGACACCTGATTCATACAATTCGCTGACATTTCAGTTTATTGATCAGACGGTCAATCAATAATTTTGCATGCCATCATGGCTAGTTAGACACGTTTGATTGGCTTTATTGGTCAGATTCACTGTGCGCACTACGTATGTGCCTATAGCAATGTACAAGATGTACAAGTCGCGAAAGTATTCGTCCATGTATGCGCACGTGTGGAAGAAGGTGCGAAGGAGGGGTTATTGCATGTTTGCACCCACGCATGCACCTTGATATGGGAAAACAATTACCTCAATGTATACTTGCATCTTAGTTTGGTTGCCAATGAACAAGTGCCCGAAAAGAAAGATTTACAGTCAAACGCAACAGGCGCACTTCTAATGGGGATGCGGTTCATGCGCGGGTGTGATATTTCCACTTAAAATCTCCATATTTCGGAGCACTCAGGCGAAACTGTGGAAAGTGACGGTGGCAGCTGGCAGGTCTGCTGGCAGATGTGTTGCACCGGTAAGCGCGTCATGCAAACGTCACAAAATTATGCCATTCTTTGGGACAGGATGCGATATATCGAAAGCATTTGTAACTAACAGGATGTCCCTAACTGGGTAGATTGGACGGTTAATTGGTTGGGAAGGGAATTAATGCCTACCTGACAAGCAGTGGACGAGCAGCATCACGTGGCATTACATGGTTTACCTGAGGCAAGAATGTCACTTGCTTTAACTGATCGTCAAACAAGTAAATTTAGGAACCCATTCGTCTTTCCGTGGTTAACGATAAACAATTGGACTGTTTTCATATTAGAGAGCCAAGAGACCTGCTGGTATATCAGGTGGTTAAATCTGTAAAGTAATGCAATTCAGAGGTTCCCGCAGTTGTGTGGCTGTTTCTAATGCACAACTATACAGAAAGACAAACAATCTTTGAATTCATACTTTTAATAAGTGACGATTCTCAGCTGTTTGGTTATCGAGGGACCGACATTTATGATCTGGTTGAATAAGCTTACACTCCCAAGTTACATCCATTCTGCGACTTGCATAAGTTAGATAATTTATTGAATACACTAAAGCATATTTTCCAATTTTACCTGGAACAAGTAGAGATAGAGACGCTGTTTCAGCTCAAGACTGAGCTTCTTTATCGAGCAAACGGTTTTGAGAGTATAATATTCACTTTGTTAAACAAGTTATTAGGAAGTATGATTCAACTTCTAGATATTGTGAACTGCAAAACCAATAGGTAGCACACATAAGCTTACGGACTATCGAGTGTGAGGGGTAAAAGGAAACTGGACGGTTATGAAAAATCGACTTTAAGTCCTAATTAAATAGCTTTGAACTTGAAGCCATGCTGCATATTTGCCAACGCGTGCAGCTCAGATACTGGTCGCCATTCACAGATTCACGCTGGTGAATTCCGAGCAAATTTTTATCCTCTAAAGATTGGCCTCTTCACAAGATAACTTCGTGCAATGACGACAGTCAGGACTTCCATCTAGTGAATTCAACCCAGCGGCAACTAAGTTATATAAACAGTTATAACTCAATCTCTATCTAAAATGGAAAACGACGGGATATAAGAAAACGGAGCCAGTCATTGAGTGACGGAACTGTTATTCACGGAACTCAGTTAAGTTTTGGAAATACGGTAAACCCGTTTGATAAAAGCATGGTATCCAGATGCTCCGGTCCTAACAGTGGAAGAATATTACAAGGCCGTTGTTAGTTTACTCTAACTAGTAACTGAAGGCTTTGTTGTCTCGTTTTGCACACAGAGTAGTTACTATCCTTTTCATTTTCTTATCGATGAGCGGTGACGAACTCAGCGTGCGTTGCTATTTCAGGAGGGTCGATTTAAGTAGGTTGACATGAAAGTGCAGAAACCTGTGAAATTCATCTGCCAAACCGGTTTTAAAACGTTTAATCAAACGTTTATTCAAAGCCCAATGCTAAGCCAACAATGTCCGACTCAACTTTCTAAAGTGAGTAGTTTCCTTTAGGAAAATATACTGCGATATCTCGAATATCGTGCCAACTGAATCATGAGGCGGCCTGTGTGCAGCACATTCAGTTGGAGGACATCATAAACGAGAGATTCAATTGAGTCGTGAGTGAAAACCAAATTGATTCGCAAATGAGTGTATTTCTCTAAATCCATCTTGTTTCCCACTCGTGTGACCTTGGGGCTCAGGAGTGGATACATCCCACTTCAGCATCTACAAACCCACTCATAGTGTGTGGATCAAAGTGCCATGGTAGGTTAATTTGGAGCCGACAGTGTCAATAGGGTATGTGCCGCAAGAAGTTTGGGACGATAGAATTTCGGCATTTCGGGTAAGAAGAATAAGGAGTCCAAATAAGGTTGTACGAAATTTGAACGAATTTTCCGCAGTAGCACAGGGACCGAACGGTGGAGGTGTTTGATACAATGCCGGAAAGGCTTTCGAAGCATCTTGAGGCAAATTATTCACACTGTCGGAATCGGTGTTTGCCCTGTCCAGCCGATGTATGTATTGTTCTAAAAAACATGCAGTTACTGGCGGGAAACAAATGCAACTATTGTTATGACGAACAGATATCGACTTTACAAACGACACTCACAAGGTTGCTGAAAACTTTTCGAAGCGTATGACGAACAGATATCGACTTTACAAACAATAATATATCTGTGCTAGTGTTTACAGTATCTTAAGTATGCTGCTAAACACCACAGTGCCTGGGTACGTGCAACGGCTTGCTTGTCAAAGTTGATTAGGTGTCTTATAGCTAGCAGAAACAGTTTTACCGATTGGACGATACGTTGATTGTTTCCCACTAAAGATTTTGACGAATATTTCTTCACATTTGTTCAACGTTATGTTAGAAGTATTCCGCGATTCGCAATTCGGTGATAGAAACCTTCTGTCTAGACTAGGATATGCGCTCTTTCAGTAATACAGTGGAATACTGACCTTGCTTAGGGAAATGCAAGCATCTTCGTTTCGGCAACGTATGCTGATGACTCTATTTCTATATATTAGTTTTATTTAGATTTTGCACACTATCGGGCCACCAAACGGACAAGATAAACCTAGTATTCTCCTCCAACCAGTTCATATCATAAATGTTAAAGCATACAACTGACAAGCTTATGACAGATTTGATAAATAAAACAATCAAAGCTCAGTCAGAACTAGATGTTTTTTAGAGGAGAATCCAACTCATTGGGACAGTTCAGAAGAGCCGGTAAATATTGCCTGGGTCAACTGCACATTGAAAAGAGATTTCTCAATCACCGGGCCTTGTCCATGTTGTTGTTTGCAGGAGGTCGCAACGGCTTTTGACGGTCTTGTCAGGAGCTTTACTACGGCAAGCCACTTCAAAGTGATTGAACGGATATCATAACGAAAGCATATCCACGTACCTTGAGGTCTTCTCTGACCACTTAGGTAAAAACTAATGCAGCTTAAAGTAGGTGATTATCGGCTACTCAAACAGCTGACTGTTCTACGTGTGAACTGGAGTAACCGTAAGAAATCAGGTAGAGTAGCCTGGTTATTAAAATCTTTATGTATCAGTTCATAGAAAAATACTCTTAGGAAACTCTAGTACCGTACGTCAACTACAGAATCAGTAAGCTAGCAAGAATTGAAAAAAACGGTCAGTGTATATTTGCAACAAAAATTTGGTTTGATCCTTGAGCTGATCTAATGGACTGTAATGTGTGACATACTTACCCTGTAGGTTTAAGTTGATGTTGGCGTTGCTATCTCCAACGACATTTTTAGCATTGATTCGATAAGTCCCACCATCGTCCGGTTTTGGGGCAACAATATGGATTTCCAATATGTACAAATCGTCCGCCTGGTCTTTCACAGTCCAAAAACGTTTTCCGGGAATTTCTTGGATCTCTTTGTCGTTCAAGAACCATGTCAAAGTGGCTTTGGGCTTGGCTTCCAATTTACAAGACATGATTACTTCACCCTTGGCTTTGTCCATACGAATTTCTGGTTTCTCTGGGAATCGGGGAGCTTTGTTAGCGGCGCTAAAATAGCGGTAGGCATTAAGTGGGAAAGATCAGTGGACTGCAAAAACTCGAAAGAGATTACACAAGAAGAACTCAAGAGCTGGCCTGGGGTTGACACGTCTAAATCCTGCCGAAATGAGAAATACGATTTTCCGTCCATGAATTTGGAAGGACTGTTTAGTGGGACTGTTTTGGTGAAGTTTGCCAGTAATAACTGTATTCCTACCAGTCACAGTTACAAAATGAATGAATGGGATGTTTCTTCCGTAGCTTTGAGAATATTGAACAAGTGAATATGCTTTTGGTCCTTTGGCTCGCATATAAGATGGACTCACAAATGAGTCGGCAGAATAGGTCGCGTTGGATTACGTGGAATCAGTAGTAATTCGAAGACCGAGCTAAAGCAGATTTGGCAGTCTTGAGATGCATAGAAACAACGTGCTCTTTCCGAAACTTAATAAACCTTCAAAAGTTCAGTGAGAGTAAGGTTTCTCAGCTTAATATCTTGTGACGAAATAGTCATCCGACACTGTCACCTGCGTTTGTTCACCTCGCATCACTCGGAATTTGTAGAGCAAGTCACGTCTTTGCGAAGGCATTTACGACTGACTCAAGTGAACAGTTCGTGTTATGCACGGATCACCGTAATTTAATCAGACCGACGATCAGCATGTAAAAAAATTATCTCTTGCTAGGCATCAGCACTGAGACTACTCACTATTGATTCTACTACTTCGAGGATAAGCAGGTGAATTCCTCGAAGTTCCGTGAATCATACATGAAAACCTGAAAACCTGAGATGAGGTTGAAGAATAACTTAAGTGAAACTCAGCTGAATCACTGGCTTACTATGTATTTTAGACAAATGTTCTGAGCGAAATTGTGCCCCAATTCAACCGACATTCTCCCGATTTCTTATCACGAGGATCTAAACACCAAATGGTGGAACCCGGTAGTTGACCACCGAATGACATTAATCCACTATGTAAGTGGTATCTTACCAAGGGGAAGATAGGCTGATTTGTCAAAAATTAGTCCATCTGAACCGTAATAAGGTCTCTGTGCAGTGCACTCACTCCGAGAATTTCACAAACAAGGTTTTATTTATGAACAGACATTTGGCTTAGCTTACGGCCAGTTTGCTCCTCAACAGGGAACGTGATGCCTCTGCCCGATTCAGCTCAAACAGATGAGCTGTCCGTAACCTCTCATCAGTCTTATAAATTGTAAGTTATGTCACGAAACATATTTAAAAGCACTCCAGCTTACGAATGATTTCCTTCATATTCCTCCACAGAATATTTTACATCGTGAACATAAAGAAAATGCCTACATGACTATCGGAGTTTACAAAAATAATCGGAGTTGGGAAGTTTCTCACAGGATAAGATTTCAACTGAAACTTGTCTTTGGGTGCCATATATATATTTATATATATATATAGGGTTTTGGGGCTATAAAACTGATACCACTGAGGAAGAAGAAGACTGGCATTCATCTCGAACCCCTTTGGCGGCTAAACCTTACGAAATTCAAGGTCACATTGTTTCAACTTTCTGCGATCCACAAAGTCCCGGATGTGAGTCGTCGCTGAACGTCTTTCCATTAGGATGTCTGTGAGTGTGTGAGAATTTCAAATGAGTAGGTTGTCTCCACTACGGGTCTTTCTATTTTCAAGTGTAGTGGATTAACAGTGCCGTTCCTTGAATCGGTTTGTCAAATGTTCTTTGTTTACAGCGCATACCTTCTGTCAATACAACACAAAAGCACTGCACAATTCACCGCAACTACAGGTGATTAAGTGACTCTCCCAGCTTAATGGTTGTAAAACCCTTTTCTTTAACAATTAGCAACCTTGAAACAGTGGAAACAAATCGGCAACACTAAGAGGACAAGTCACGTGACCACAACTTACGATTTTGGTGCACCAATATTAAGGTTGATGGTAGCTGTTGAGTCACCCAATCGATTTTTCGCTGTTACCAAATATTCTCCGCCATCATCCGCAGTAACTGGGTTGATTTCAAGAGAGAGCAGATGCTGACTGCCAGTCGTTTGACAACCGGTTTTAAAGCGTCCGCCAGATTTAATTTCCACTCCTCCTTTGGTCCACCGAAGTTCGGGGGCCGGGGCCGCCTGTAGGATAACCTCAAATATCACGGACTTGCCAGCTTGCCGGATCTTTGGTTTGTCTGGAAACTTCGGCTGAATACCTGTGTATTTCAAAGAAGGAAAATTCATCAATTTCACTCACAATTAAAATCATACAAACTTAAGGCGATTCAAGGCTTACCAATCCCAGTGCCACCTCAAATCAGCGAAATAAAGAAGTGTTCACAACCATATTTTCATTCATTTTGTGCTCGATGTTTGTAGAGGCAAAACCAAATTGTGAAGAAGTCCTTACGAGGTCACGAAATCTCTTTTGAACGCTTCTGTTGTTCCCCAACATACGTACATTAAACTTTTATGGAAAATGTCAAGACCCAGAAATCAGCGGACTATGTTAGTTGATGGCTAAAAATCCAATATATTCTCGGTTTAGCGGTTCTAGAGCTCCTGGCGGGCTGCGTAAACAGTTTCATCCTTTAGGTCTGCCCACAATTTAAACAAAAGAAAGTACAGCGTTCAGCAAAAAATTGTCCAACTTATAAGTTACATGGAACAAAAGCTCTGCTAAGTCCGCAGTACGACGTAGTAGTATGCAATGCGGAGTGTGAGGCGTACACTCGTCTTCCCATAATGCGACGTTGAACGTGAACTGCCCCGTTCGAAATTCGAATAGTTCATAACGAAACCAATGTTTGCGTCAGCAGGGAAGAGCATAGACTTGCATTAACATTCCTTACTCGGCGCTTAGATTCGCCCATCCGAACTAATCAGTTGAGCTAGTTGTATCGGTTCTACTGGCTTATACGTATTATGGTTAGCTGAATCTTTCAAGAAGACAATATCGAAGCAGGGAGGTCAACACGATGAAGTTTACCACGGACTAGGTCATCTGGCTGCATGGTCCGTGTAAGTTTTCCTACCTTCCAGCAAACTGACGCGCTGCCGCATTCGATTCAGTAGTTCATAACTTGCGCCCGACTGAACCAGACTACCTTTAGTGAGTGTCATTATGCACAAGCGAGGAGTGCCCCAGTTTTTGTGCAACCTGCACGCAAGCACCGAGCACTCAGCTGGATGTACTGGCATTCTGACGCTAGGTATTCCCTTTTGCTTTCTTATAATTATCTGTCCTTATGATAGCTTATACATCCTGGGGAGGCCAAAACATGCCACTTTCAACGGTTTTAAATATTCCAATTTATGTCAACTCCCGTTCACCGAGTCTGATGCATCGATAGGCGCGTGTTTGTACTGTTTCAAACGTTGCCACTTTGGTACTTTCCAGCTATCCTTTGCAAAAACCGAAATAGTTAAAGCCAAAATGACCGTACAAGGATTTTGGACACAACGTGTTGTGTACCTGTGCAGGTCGCAGTATATATGAATTTGGTCGATAAGCTTTAGTAAAAACTGAATTTGGTCGTTGTAGCGTTGCACTTCCTGAATCGCTGACGTTAAAATTCTACCTGTCATGCAATAGGTTTTGCAGCGCCACGGACGGCGCCCCCATTCAGTCATTTTCACCAATCTAATTACGTACCACGTACCTATCATGCTGCAACACAGTGAAAATATGTCGTCTACTGAGCCCGGCCAGATAGCAGCTGTTAGGAGACGACTCCACGCTAACTACCTATAAGGACGTCTCGGCATCCAACAGCTGACCGTCATCGATCAGACAGACCAACGCAGACGTCTTATTGACCAGTCCGATGAAAAACAAACCAACTAGCGGGTGAACCAACGCATCAGATAGTGCAATCGAAAGAATAGACTTCCTATTGAGCCAGGTGGCAGAAGTTCTCTGAAGAATTTTGTGACTAAAGTGTAGGGATCATCTGGTAAATTTAAAAACAAACTACCGTCAACTTCTAATCCATGATCTAACACCCAACGAACTTTCTTTGTGGCCGACAAAGATTACCTGGCTGAGACGATCGATGTAACTAGAAGGAAGTACTGAGGCTGCCAAATAAACTTCAAGCACAGCTAGCACACAACTGCATGGAGATCAGCTCTGAATATTACCAGATATTTTGTAGAATATTCTGAAGATTTCCTCTTGAAACTGCAGTCAGTTTGTACTGAAAAGTCTAGCGGACTCGTTGGGACCATATTCATATAAGACATACAACCCACATGGACCTTCCCTCTAAAGCATTGTCCATCCAGGCTCTAGTTGACACTGAATCATGTGAATGAATCACGTGTGAATGAAGTATATTGACACTCAATGCTGTCTATGGGCAGTAATCGCACTGCTGGTCAGGCATTTGCACCCGAATAGTATAGCGTCAGACCACTAGCTGGAAATTATCAGGTTCAGACCTCTCGAGGCGTTCGTGATAACAATTCTCTGCCAATGAAGCGATTCGGGGAAGAAGGCAGCTCGTAAGGCTCAGGATATTTTCAACCTGAGTTCATTCATCCGAGGAGTCCAGCGCAGGACTCTTCTTCACTGGCAGCCTATGGGAAATTTCCTCCAACTGGAGGAAAGTGTTGTTGTTCATCTCATTTTTTGAGTAGTAAATTCCCATTACACGGAAATTCGTCCTGTAATCGGGCAGAAAGCACCGAATTTTGTAAAAGCGCCGTCTCAAACTGCAAGCTTTTATTGGCACATGTCTCAAACAAGTACCGTGCGAGCAGTAGAAAATCCTTCCGCGTTATTTATATCTCGCATGCTGAACATGCAAGAGGCAACTGTCTTTTAGCATTTCGGTTCTGCGAGGCCATTTGTTCGCTTTGCAACCAAACAGGCGAGGAAAATTTTATGGGATACCCAATTTCAGGCTAGTCTTATTGATAGGAGTATTTGTCACGAGGAAAAAACCAACAGGGTCTTTTTGCTGACTGAGATTTGGAGAAATAATTCTAACCGGAACTAGAGCGGGAATTAAATCAGGAACTTGCCAAGATCCGTCGAAAGATAATCCCAATTAAGAAAAGATCCGGCAGAAGCAAACGGATACTTTTGGGCCACAAATAGTAACGACTAGTTAGAAAAGCTCAAGAGTAGGGAGTTGCTTGACAGGAAATTTTCAGTAGATCGGCTTTAGTAAGTCAACTGAATGTTACGGAGGGGTGACATAGACCTAGCAGGGTTGGATGTTTAAATTAACGACCAGAAAATATCTCCGAATTAGAGGGAAGATCCGCTGTTCCATTAGAAGAAGACTCACGTACTTTCCTGAGGTATGCTTTTCTCCAGCTGCCCTGTAAAACATTTCGGACGTAGATAAGTGCGTTTTTACACTATAACTGTCTGTTACAAGGCAGTACAAATAACGCGCTTGCAACTAAAAACCTGAAAGCGGCTTAGTTTTTTCAAAAAATCTGTGGTAACAAGTTGTAGAGGAAGATGTGATGTCTGAATCCAAGTGGTGGGAACAAAATTTTGCGCTTGAGAATCGACTGGCATCACTGACTTTCAACGCATTAAGGTTATCTTTGTCCACGTCAAATCTGAATGGTATTTAGTTCAAGCCTGCACCTATTCGCCTCATACGATTTCGTAAGTTCAAGACGTGCCGAATTCCCTACTATTCCCTGTTAGTTTATACAAATACCTTTTGCTATGTAGAACCTATCGAAGTTTGGCCCGTTGTGAACATCGCGCATGGAAGTCACTGATGAAGCTGATCGGCACAGACGATTAGTCCAAGAAACGGGTGAGTGGAAAATCATGCTTAAATTTCGTAGTTAGATTGGGTTCGGTTCCAAGATGTGTGAAGACCTTTTTCCCCCTCCAAAAAGCATATGACTGCAACAGATGGACTCTACTTCAATCTAGGACTTAATAATGGGTTTGCAAAGTACATTTTGGGATAATTTTAAAACCTAAATAGGTGGCTGGCCCAGTAAGTTCCTTGAAATGGCAAGCTGGATACCGTCAGGCTGTGACAAATTGATGATCTGTGTAAAATCAGGTGGGTCATTTCATCTAAGAGAAGTGTCTTTCAAAAGACCAGGAGGTCCTGTTCAGGCGCAACACAATTCCTAACGGCAGTTCTTGTCTTACGTGTGACGTTTAGTAGTGAGACAACTACACGCGGGAAAGTTACATTTTCGTTGCCTAATAATTCGCAAAGTTCGATGAGTCTACTATCTTTGAAAGAGGGCTGAATATGGCTTTTTAAGTTATTTTTCATCCCGTAGTGATGCATTTTGCAGTCATTTATAGTTGAGCGAAATTTCCATTGATGACAGATAGTTGGAGGTTAGCAAATGGAGCGTCTTTAATATTCGATAGGATAACTGGTGAAAGACACCTTGCGGAATTCGACCAGTTTTGTGAATATCTTGTGGTACAGTACGACTTTTGTGAAAAAGTCCCATAGGACAGAAAGCAACTACGGTGAAACAACGTCAGGGTCGCACAACTCTTCACCTGAATGCCATTCTTCATACAACAAAGCTTCTGTTCCGAAGGATGGGCCCTGATGGTTGGCTTCTTCTCCCCGAGGGTCAAAATCTCTGGGTAAGCTGACCCTGTCTGCTTGATGGACGTTCATCGAGTGATTCTATGAACACTCCTGGTACAATATCCTAGTATTTTTTGGAATCGGCTTGCTTAGCTTGCTTCACACACTTGCTGCATTCTTAATATGCAGACCAAGGTTCATGATGATGAGGTGCAGGTCCAAATGACGTACGGCAGCTTGATATCTATTGAGTTACCAACTGAAAGCGTTCTTTTCAGCGTTTTACTGGATATGTGCCCTTGTAATAGGGCGTATTGACTTATCATTCTTGTTCGATTTCAGCTGGGTAGTACAGAAACCCATTTCCCCAGTGAGATAAGTGATGGCATCGGACGACGGCCATATATGTTTGTCTTACTGCATAAGTCTGTATCAGCAACAGGCACTCCGCACCACTGAATATCTGGTACATCCATTTCGTTGGGGCACTAACAACGGAAATTTCGCTGTCTTAGCGTAAAAGCTTGCGGAAACGTGCATATTGGTTACTACCTCTACAAGCTAGCAACTCCATCAGTAGTCACTCCGATGTGCCCGAAGGTGTTTCCTTGAGGGGAAAGAGCACACTACCCCTACATTCAGCTGGGCGCTGATGAAGTGAACCGAAGAGGCTGCAG